GTGGCCCAAAAACGTGGTTTCGAAGCACGGATCCTCATGGATCCTCATGCTTTTTGCATTAGGCCACACCTAAATCACTGTCAAATCACACATCATGGCCAGGGGCACAGCCTGCAACACAAAAAACTGAGATCTACGGCTTCCTGGCCACTCCATGGCCCAAAAACGTGGTTTTGAATCACAGATCCTCATGGATCCTCACTCTTTTTGCATTGGGCCAACCAAAACTCACTGTCAAATCACATATCATAGCCAGGTTCACAGCCTGCACCACAAAAAACTCGGATCCACACCTGCCTGGCCATACTGTGGCCCAAAAACGTGGTACCGAAGCATGGATCCTCATGGATGCTCATGATTTTTGCACTGGATCAGCCCAAAGTCACCATCAGATCAAACATCTTGGGCATGGGCACAGCATCCACCACAAAAATTACGGATCCATGGCTTCCTGGCCACTCCATGGCCCAAAAACGTGGTTCTGAACCACGGATCCTCATGGATCTTCACGCTTTTTACATTGGGCCACCCCAAACTCACTGTCAAATCACACATCATGGCCAGGGGCACAGCCTGCAACACAAAAAATTGAGATCCACGGCTTCCTGGCCATACCGTGGCCCAAAAACGTGGTTTCGAAGCACGGATCCTCACACTTTTTGCATTGGGCCAACCCAAACTCACAGTCAAATCACACATCATATCCAGGGGCACAGCCTGCACCACAAAAAACTCAGATCCACGGCTTCCTGGCAACACCATGGACCAAAAACGTGGTTTTGAAGGTCGGATCCTCACGGATCCTAACGCTTTTTTCATTGGGCCCAACCAAAACTCAACGGCAAATCACCATATCATACCCTAGGGGCACAGGACTACACAACAAAAAACATCGGAATTCCACGGTTTATCTGGGCAACCCATCGGCCCAAGAACATGGTTTCCGAAGCACGGATCCTCATGGATCCTCATTATTTTTTGCAGCTAGATCAGCCCAAAGTCCACCATCCAGATCAAACATCATGGCCCATGGGCACAGCATCCACCACGAAAAATCACGGATCCACGGCTTCCATGGCCATACCGTGGACCAAAAACGGAAGTGGTTTTGAAGGCCATGGATCCTCATGGATCCTCACACTATTTGCATTGGGCCAGCCCAAACCTCACTGTCCAAATCACACATCATGTCCCAGGGGATACAACTTGCCACCACAAAAAACACTAGGAGCCACAGCTTTCTGGTCATAACACGGCCCAAAAACGTGGTTTTGAAGCACGGATCCTCATGGATCCTCACACTTTTGCATTGGGCCACCCAAACTCACTTAAATCACATCATGTCCGGGCACAGCCTGCACACAAAAAATCATGGATCCAGGCTTCCTGGCCGTGGCCCAAAAACGTTTTCGAAGCACGGATCCTCATGGATCCTCACACATTTTGCATTGGGCCAACCCAAACTCACTGTCAAATCACATATCATGTCGAGGGGCACAGCCTGCACCACAAAAATAGGATCCACGGCTTCCTGGCGACACAGCCCAAAAACGTGGTTTTGAAGCACGGATCCTCATGGATCCTCATGTTTTTGCACTAGATCAGCCCAAACTCACCGTCAAATCACACATCATGCCCAGGGGCATAGCTTGCACCGCAAAAACTCGGATCCATGGGTTCCTGGTCATACCATGGCCAAAAAACGTGCTTTTGAAGCACGGATCCGGTACTATACCAGCTGCACTGGCTCCCGGTGGAGTACAGGATCAGGTTTAAGGTGCTGATTTTAACCTTTAAAGCCCTATATGGCCTAGGACCCTCGTGCCTACGGGACCGCCTCTCCTGGTATGTCCCACAGAGAAATTTACGGTCTGCAAATAAAAACATCCTGAAGATCCCAGGCCACAGAGAGGTTAGGCTAGCCTCAGAGGCAGGGCTTTCTCGGCTGCGGCTCCAATCTGGTGGACCGCTCTGTCACAAGAGACTAGGGCCCTGCAGGACCTGACATCTTTCCGCAGGGCCTGCAAGACAGAGCTGTTCCACCAGGCCTTTGGTCAGGGCGCAGCCTGACCCCTCCTCTGGCAATCTGCACAGAATTTTGCTGAATGGTTGCCATCAATTTGATTTTAATTAATTTTATAATGAATGTTTTTAGAATGTTGGATTATTCTGTTTGTTGTTAGCCGCCCTGAGCCCAGCTTTGGCTGGGGAGGGCGGGATATAAATAAAAATTTGTTATTATTATTATTATTAAGTTCTTCAAAGCCACACACACCTTCGGCTGAAAGCCAAAGTTCAAAGTTCTGGGCCATTTTCGCAGAATACACAGCAATGCTGTCTGAGGGACAAGACTTATCCCCTTTTCAGAAAGCCCTCCGATAGTTCTCAGGATGAAGTCCATGCCTTTGCATGACTAATTTTTTAAAGCGCTCATAGTCATGGATTTGGGATGAGGGGAGATGGCCCATCAATTCGGCTAGGTCTCCACAAATTAGGGAGCGCAAAATTGGCATGTACATTTTCAGGGACACCCCCATATCTCGGCAGGTTACTTCAAAAAGAGTCAGATAACTCAGAACATCAGTGGGGGGCTGATATTTCGGAAATGCCCCCCAGTTAAGGTTGCTCAAAGTTAGCCCCGGAGGAGACTGTCTGCCATTTTCTCCTGGTGGCTCCTCGTGATTGTAGTCATACCTTGGAACAGGATGTCGAGACGCTCATCCCTCCGGACGCAGGTGTTCCGCCGCTGCGTATACACGCGAGGGTCCAGGGAGAAATTCCTCCTCCTTCTCCGCCGCGTACCATCGCACCGCTCCACCAGTTTCCCAAGCTCTTACTGGCGAGTAGACCCGTCCTGGGGTGGGGGAACGCCGTCTCACCGTTCTGCGAATGTCGCACGATGGACACTCTCGACGGTAGTCTCCCACAGACACTTCTTGCAGCTGCTGCGGCAGATCTTGATACTCATAAGCCATCCGGCTGACTCTCTGCCCCATAAGAATGGTTTTGCACCCACTCAACCGCATCGCCCTCTGAAAACTCCATCTCTTTAGGCTCTGCATAAACAAGATAGTTCCCTCTAGGACGTGTGGAGGCCATCCCAGCTTCCACTTCCTCACAAGGTGACAATTTTAACTGGCGCCCCCCTCTCTCTCCAAGTTGCAGGACTCTTGCCCACCCTTCCAAACAGTTCTTAATTCGCTGGCATCCACCAGCTCTCTCTCCGACTCGGGATCTCCCGAAAACCAGGAGGCGGATTCCACTCTGGGACTTGGAGGTTGGGGGGGGGTTGTCTCCGAAGGAAGGGAACTGCCTTCTCCACCCGGACCCCATTCGTCCACAGTTCGCAAAGTGTATTCCTGGGGAGCCCCGGCTTCCATAATTCCTGACTATCTCTATCCCCCCCAAAAATAAAACGCCTTAGTACACAAAGATTTGTGCCAATTTAAAATCAAAGTGCCTTTCTGCAGGAAGCCATCCCACCGCTGCCACCATGTAGTAAACTAATAATAATAATAAATTTATTTATACCCCGCCCTCCCCAGCCAAGACTGGGCTCAGGTGGCTAACAACCAATAATAAAAAAATGTTGATTAAAATACAATTTCAAAAGATTAAGATACAACATTAAAACTTAGGATGCAGCCTCTTCACAGGAGGGAAAAGGAAATAGAAAGAGGGGAGGGAATCAAACTGATTTCTAAGCCAAAGGCCAGGTGGAACAACTCTGTCTTACAGACCTGCGGAAAGAAATCAGATCCCGCAGGGCCCTGGTCTCATGAGACAGAGCGTTTCCACCAGCGGGAGCCAGTGTTGAGAAGGCCCTGGCTCTGGTTGAGGCTAATCTAACTTCCTTAGGGCCCGGGACCTCTAGGTGTTGCATATATGGACCTTGAGGCTCTCCGTGGGGCATACCAGGGGAGGCGGTCCCATAGGTACGAGGGTCCTAGGCTGTGAAGGGCTTGAAAGGTCAAAATTAGCACCTTAAATCTGACCCTGTACTCCACCGGAGCCAGTGCAGCTGGAAAAGCACTGGGGTGAATATGCTCCCATGGCAGAGACCCCGTGAGGAGCCTCGCTGCAGCATTCTGCACCCGCTGGAGTTTCTGGGACAGATTCAAGGGCAGCCCCATGTAGAGCGAATTACAGTAGTCAAGCCTGGAGGTGACCATTGCATGGATCACTGTGGCCAGGTTGGGGCGGGAAAGGTAAGGGACCAACTGCTTGATGAGGCGAAGGTGGAAAAATGCCGCCTTGGCTGTTGCTGTAATCTGTGCCTCCATGGAAAGGGAGGCGTCAAGGATTACACCCAAACTCTTAACTGAAGGCTTCAATGAATAGAAGGATGAATAAGGCTCCATAGAGAGCATTCTTACATACTGTATTTGTGCTTGGTTCTCCAGTTGTACAGCTAGGGAGAGGAAGGTGCTCCAGAAGGTCATAACCACAGCCCAAAGGATTATTGGTCATCCTCTCCCATCTTTGGAAGAACTGTACGGTTCCCGTTGTCTTAGGAAAGCAAATAACATCCTGCAGGATTCATCTCACCCGGGACACAGTCTGTTTGCACTACTGCCTTCTGGCAGGAGATATAGAAACATCAAGTCAAAGACAAATAGACTGAAAAACAGTTTCTATCCAAGAGCTGTGGCCTTTTTGAATGCTGTAACTCGATAGTGTGACCTGGGAGTTTGATGGGTGTTGGTGTGGGTGTGGCTGGAATGTGGTTTGTTTGGTTGTTGTTGTTGTTTTGCTTTTGTTGTTTTAAGGGATGGCATCCAATTTCGTTGCACTTTGTGCAATGTTGCACTTGTGTAATGACAATAAAGAATCTATTCTATTCTATAAGGTCTCTAAGGAAATGGAGGCCAGAGATTTTCAGTTTGTTTCCCAACCTACCTCGTCTGTGCTTTCCTGATGAACACAAAAACATGAATGGGTCTGATCCATTCTTCACATTCTGATGTTCCTGTTTCTCTTTTCTCTTTTCTCATGGACAGGGAATTGATTTTGATGAAGATCAAATATCGGAAATCGGCCTGGAAGATGGGGAGGATCTTCCTCCAAGGTAATCCTGTGCTAATCCCCTCCCCCATAATCAATTGCTTTTAAAAAAAAACCCGGTCCATTTCTATGGTGGTGGTGCTTGGGGTCTTTGAAGGATGGGAGGCAATAAACCCTTTTGACAAAAGTGCTACTCCTGTCTCCCCTCAGCATCCCAACCACAGCTTCTCTGGATGCGGCTGATCTTCCTCCTGAAAGCGGCAGCAGGGACCAGCTGAACAACAGACTTACGGATTTCGTCGCAACAATAAAGAGTGGGATGATCCGAAGGAAGGCGCTCCGAGATCTTTGCGCCTTCCTGCAGAAGATCCAGGAACATGTGAGTTGCGTGGCGAGTTCCCGCCTCCCCCACGGAAATAAAGACACAGGACACCAGTATTTTAGGTTAATGGGCAAAATTAGGCCACAACTTTATTGATTACAGGAATTGAGTGGTATTGGCTTAGGCATTGGTCCTATCGACTAACCGGCTTCAGCCTGATTGCTAGAAGACCGGCAAGGGTTAACCACCAGTAGGGGGAGTCCTGCTGATGTACATCAACTAGGAGCTCCCCCGGAGTCACCGCTCGGGGGCATGCCTTAGGCCCACACCTCCATAGGCTTCGGACAGGGCAACGCCCCACGGAATCCTTTACCGGACTACCCTTCGATATGGGGGAAGGTGATGGCGCTTCCTCCCCCCACTCATCTGCATAACAATACCCTTACCAATGCCTAACCGCCAATGCCGAGGAAGTTGTGACG